CAGTTTTCGAATAACCGGAATTTTGGTCGGTTTAGTCACTTGATTCTTGGGACTGGGTTTCTAGTGGAAAAGAAAGTCTTTTCCCTTAAAAAAGCCAATGTGTAAGACATGTCTGCCGGTGTCCCTCTGCCTAATGCAAAGTCTAACATGTGTCTGATAAACCAACCGTAAGCGCGTCACTCGGTCCTTAAGGTAGCTGGCTGATCTAATAGGCTACCGCAGCGACTATACATATTTCTAACTTTGAATCTCACAGTACCCATGCATAGCCACCATTTCCCGTCTTGTCTCTGTCCGAGAACATCAGGTAAAGTGCAGCAGAAGAAGAGCAGAGCTGGAGCCATGATCCAGGTCAGACCACCCTTGTGGTATAGAAGGTTATGGGCCAAAACAATTGTTGATGAGGGATCTTCTACTAATGATTGGTAGACTCCTGCTGTACATTTTCTTCTGTTGTTCTTATATTATTGATTTTTATCACTAAGGGCCAGATAATCATCATCACCATCATCGTGTGCAGATCGCGATCCCTTGTTGCCTGGAACAGTTTTCTTGATTATATCCCTCCATGCCATCGTTTCAGCCCATCCAGCACCATCTCTCTTGGTCTGCCTCTACCCCTCTTTTCGTTGATCTTTCCAGTTGTCACTATGTTCTCTAATGTCTCTCTTCTCATTATGTGGCCAAAGATCAGTGTTAGTCACTTTCTTATTGTTTTATATATATATATATATCTATTTTCAATAGCTTCTTTCAAGCAATTGTTCTTAGTTACTCTGGCCGTCCAAGGTATTCGCAACATTCGTCTTATAAATCACATCTTTGTTGTTTCCAAATTCTTCTTAATTTAATCACTCACATTCCAAGATTCGCTACCATACAGCAGAACAGGTTCTATGTAACATTTTAGCACCCTCTTTCTGACGTTAAATGAGAGCGATTTTTTGCAAAAGATATTTTTCATTTTCTGAAATACAGCTTTCGCTTGACCTAATCTGCTTATGATCTCCGTCACACATTTTCTATCTAATGACATGATTGTTGCCAGATATTTGAATTTATTGACTTGGTTAAGTCTTTTTCCTTCAATTGAGTTAATAGACGCCAGATATCTTTACCAACTAATGATGCATTTCTAATGATTTTCTTATAGGTCGAAATGTTTTCCCCAAATCCGAAGCTGTGCCAGTACGAATTACACGACTTGCCAGACATGTTACCACGGGGTTTTACAGAATATTAAAACGTAAACTCAAACAAAAGTAAATAGTTTTCTTGAATTAATAGTAATTTTAATTCTACTGCAATGAAACTCGTGCCATAAACGTTAACATAAGTTAGCAAAAAACTGTCAATGTTTAACGATTGCGCTAACCGGCACAGAGAACCGGAAGTAGCAGCCTCCATTGTGCGCATCTGCTTCTGAAAACATTCTGTCGATCGGTTCTGGTAAATCGCTGGTGCTGACAGGGTTAAATCATACAATTTATCAGGTAAATCACCGGTCCTTACGGTAAAATCATACATTTTGTCAGGTAAATCCCCGCTTCTGACAGGGTTAAATCATACAATTTATCAGGTAAATCACCGGTCCTGGCGGTAAAATCATACATTTTATCAGGTAAATCCCCGCTCCTGACAGGGTTAAATCATACAATTTATCAGGTAAATCACCGGTCTTGACAGGGTTAGTTAAATCATACAATTTATCAGGTAAATCACCGGTCCTGACAGGGTTAAAGCATACATTTTATCAGATAAATCACTGGTCCTGACGGTAAAATCATTGTATCAGGTAAATAAATCACTGGTCCTGACAGGGTTAAAGCATACATTTTACCAGGTAAATAAATCATCGGTCCCAGGGTTAAATTTCCTTCGAAGTCGGAGTGCATCTGCCTGAGAGGCAAGAAACCAATAGTCTGCATACAAGTCATATCTGTAAAAAATGAATGTGCAGGCAACCCTCAGGTTCTGCGAACAAGATTAACCCAGAGGTGGACGAATGATGACCAAAACTTTCGTCAATGTTTACAGCCAGTGAACACGAAGAAGAAGAAGAAGACAAGGTTAAATTATAGTTATGAGCTAAATCCCTGTTCTTGACAAGGTTCAACCATACAGTTTAAATGAGGTAAATCCCTGGTCCTCAATAGGTTAAATCATAGAATTAAGTAAATCACTGGTCCTCAAAAGGTTAAATCATAGAATTAAGTAAATCCCTGGTCCTCAAAAGGTTAAATCATAGAATTAAGTAAATCACTGGTTCTCAAAAGGTTAAATCATAGTTAGAATGAGGTAAATCCCTGGTCCCTACAGGGTTAAATCGTAGTTAGAACGAGGTAAATCACTGGTTCTGACAGGATTAAACCATAGTTAGAATGAGGTAAATCACTGTTTCTGACAGGGTTAAATCATACAGTTAAAAAGAGTTAAATCACTGGTCTTAACAAAGTTAAATATAACATGTAAAAGTGATGTATATCTTGTCCTGACAAGGGTAGATCATACAGTGCATACAGTTAAAATGAGGCAAATCATTGGTGCTGTCAGGGTTAAATCATACAGTTAAAATGATGTAAATCTTGTCCTGACAGGGGTAAATCATACAGTTAAAATGATGTAAATCTTGTCCTGACAGGGGTAAATCATACAGTTAAAATGATGTAAATCTTGTCCTGACAGGGGTAAATCATACAGTTAAAATGATGTAAATCTTGTCCTGACAGGGGTAAATCATACAGTTAAAATGATGTAAATCTTGTCCTGACAGGGGTAAATCATACAATTGAGGTAAATCGCTGGTCTTGACATGGTTAAATCATACAGTTATCAGGTAAATCTCTGGTCCTAACATGGTTTAATCATACAGTTATCAGGTAAATCTCTGGTCCTAACATGGTTAAATCATACAGTTATCAGGTAAATCTCTGGTCCTAACATGGTTAAATCATACAGTTATCAGGTAAATCTCTGGTCCTAACATGGTTAAATCATACAGTTATCAGGTAAATCACTGTTCTAATACTTGAAACCTTTGCTTCGTTAACATAGTCACTCCTTTAGCCATATCAGCCATGTTTAGAATATCTTTATGATAGTACAGATCCTAGATGTAGTCATGTTCTTCTGCTTGACGAGATCACAAACATGAGCACCATTCTCATGTTATCTTAGTATTTCCTTCTTATTTTTCTACTGTATTAGGCTGTGTCAGCTCTGCATTTATGGAAGCCTCCTTGGATGGCGGGGAATGCCCATGATCTGCCCCTGCCTTCCCTTGAGGGCTGAAAACTCTACATAGAGCTGCCTTAAGGACGACATGCCGGGGGCCACACCTGTTAAAAGTCAAAGAGGACACCACACAAATGAGGCAACATCTCGACCCACAAAACAATGGCCACAGTCAACCTAGAAATAGGCTTGACGTCTTCCTCCGAAGTCGGAGTACATCTGCCGGAGAGACGGGGAACGAGTACTGCAAACAAATAAGCCAGTAAAACGGATGTACACGCAAAATTCAGGTCAGGGTAAAAGCCAAAAGTCCATTTTGGACGAACAACCGCGACTTACCGCCCGAATTCACAGCCGGTGAACAAGAAGAAGAAATTATGTAGAGGCATCAACAGGCACGGTTAAGTATGTAGAGGCATCAACAAGTATGGTTAAGTCTGTAAAGGCATCAACAGGCATGGCTAAATATGTACAGGCATCAACAGGCACGGTTAAGTATGTATATTTTTTTTTCTGTCAAAATGGACCTTGGCTTCCAAGTCAGCTCAGCCTAAAATAGACAGCAGATAATATCCTGGGAGAGTCTAGGTGACCGGAAGAATGTTGACTACATCACCCATCAGGTGCCCCATCAGACTGTAAAAATACGAGTTTAGCATCATATGCCCAATGCATTACTGGGATAGAAACTGGCCTCTACTGTCTTTACTGACATGATGCATCACTGGGTTAGAAACTGGCCTTTACTGTCTTTATTGACATGATTCCTCACTGGGATAGAAACTGGCCTTTACTGTCTTTATTGACATGATTCCTCACTGGGTTAGAAACTGGCCTTTACTGACATGATGCATCACTGGGTTAGAAACTGGCCTTTACTGTCTTTACTGACATGATGCATCACTGGGATAGAAACTGGCCTTTACTCTCTTTACTGACATGATGCATCACTGGGTTAGAAACTGGCCTTTACTGTCTTTTTTGACATGATGCATCACTGGGATAGAAACTGGCCTTTACTCTCTTTACTGACATGATGCATCACTGGGATAGATACTGGCCTTTACTGTCTTTATTGCCATGATGCATCACTGAGATAGAAACGGGCCTTTACTGTCTTTACTGACATGATGCATCACTGGGTTAGAAACTGGCCTTTACTGTCTTTACTGACATGATGCATCACTGGGATAGAAACTGGGCTTTACTGTCTTTACCGACATGATGCATCACTGGGTTAGAAACTGGCCTTTACTGTCTTTATTGACATGATGCATCACTGGGATAGAAACGGGCCTTTACTGTCTTTATTGACATGATGCATCACTGGGATAGAAACTGGCCTTTACTGTCTTTACTGACATGATGCATCACTGGGATAGAAACTGGCCTTTACTGTCTTTATTGACATGATGCATCACTGGGATAGAAACGGGCCTTTACTGTCTTTATTGACATGATGCATCACTGGGATAGAAACTGGCCTCTACTGTCTTTACTGACATGATGCATCACTGGGTTAGAAACTAGCCTTCACTGTCTTTTTTGACATGATGCATCACTGGGATAGAAACTAGCCTTTACTGACATGATGCATCACTGGGATAGAAACTGGCCTTTACTGTCTTTACTGACATGCTCAGGTGTAGTACTTGAGAATTTTCATGTGACCAAGTTTGTTGTTTCACGTAATATGTTTATTATATGACATTATTTCACCACCAGTCATCTAGACAACCTTTGAGGTCATTTGGTCAGTCGCCAAGATGTCACAGCCATACGATATTCCCGAGACCCAAGCCATCAACAGTGCTCAGATCTCAGACTCGCCAGGCAGGGCTTTCCTTATACCAAGTCCCATCCCAACTAGACGGACTCGAACCAAGTCCATGTAAGTGATTTGTAAACTGTTACACTAGTTGTTTAGTTGTAGGGTACACAACACAGATATTTTACGATATAGATCACACAGATACATCAGATACTACAGAACCACACCTAGGGAAAGATAAATGTTCTACAAAAACCACATGAGATGCACATACACATAGGCTGAGATGTAAATATTCTCCAACAGAATGAAGAACTTTATTTTTAAAGGGTCACAAGTTAAGCACGCAGGGCTGTCTTACATTCGACCCTTCCAGACACCCATCTTCCAGGCATCCATCTTCCAGACATCTGTCTTCGAGACACCCGTCTTCGAGACATCTTCCAGACACCATCTTTTTCCACAGGCACCCAACTTCCAGGCACCCAACTTCCAGGCACCCAACTTCCAGGCACCCAACTTCCACACACACCTTCTTCCACACACCCATTTTCCAGGCACCCATCTTCCAGACACCCATCTTCCAGACACCCAACTTCCAGGCACCCAACTTCCACACACCTGTCTTCCACACACCCATTTTCCAGACTCTCATCTTTCACGCATCCCTCTTCCACACATCTATCTTTCAGACTCCCATCTTCGAGACTCTCATCTTCCACACACCCATCTTCCAGACTCCCATCTTCGAGACACCCATCTTTCACACAGCAGTTGTATTCTATTAATAAAGCATGTTATGTTAATGTAATAATATGCATATTATAAATATCAAGTCAAAAATAAAAGCATTAGTGGTAAAATGCATGCGCACGCTCGCTTGTGCACACACACATACATACGCAAACCCATTCACTCACTTACACCCACACATAGGCACCCAGTACATACATATAGACACACGCATTCATATACACACACAATCACACACACACATAACAAAATACATAATCACACACAGTGATACACACAGACACACTCTCTAAGACACACACGCAAACTCAGACACATCAGGACACACACTCAGCTATACAGACGCACACACATAAACCCACACAGACACACACATGCAGCCACAGGCACACACACACACACAGACAACACTGACATACACAACAATCACACATACACACATGCAGACACTCATACTGACACAGACACACACGCAGACACTCATACTGACACAGACACACATGCAGACACACAGACACTCATACTGACACAGACACACACGCAAACATACAGACACTCATACTGACACAGACACTCATACTGACACAGACACACATAGATATTATCTGGAACTAGAACAATAGAACAGTCCCTATACAAACAGTTTGGAAAGTTCTCACTGGAGACAACAGTTCCTCCAGTTCTCATATAATGTTACACTACACACATATATATGGAGTAGGGTAATCACAAGTGTTTACATTCTACTGGTATAGAATGGGAATGTTTACAGAACATGGCCCATAATCCTGATGGGGAAATATTTAGGAAACATCAGTTTCATGAATACTCTCTAGCCCAATAGTTTACATCACACATTAAGAAAGGACATTCTTCTTCTTTTTCTTCTTTGTGTTGACCAGCTGTACACTCTGGCGTCAAGTTTGGTTGTTCGTCCACTTCTGGACTGCAGTCCTGCTCCAGAACCTGAGTGTTGCGTGTGCATCAGTTTGACAGATCTGATTCAATTGAATGCAGACTGCTGGTTCCTTGCCTCTCAGGCAGATGCACTCCGACTTCAAAGGAAGCTCCCCAGTTAGTCGACTCTTACGACATGCTTTTGGGGAGGCAGTGGGTCTATTCTTGTTTTCCCCATAATAGGGCCCCGGAACCCACACAGGGGAGAAAGGACATTCATCAGTGTGAATTATTCTGATGTCTTTACACTAGTACTCCTTTAATGGGTTAACATGCTTACACACACAGACATACAGTCATATTTCACAATAGGCTGTCATTTCAACCACATGGGTTCCCATCACAAAGGATGAGAATCAGGGAGTGGGTTCCCATCACAAAGGATGAGAATCAGGGAGTGGGTTTACATGGGCCAGGTGCTTTGCACGGTTTGAAAATAAATGGGATTGACACATCTGCATCAATATAACTGGGTGCTGGGATAGATGTCAAAATACAATCATAGATGACAATGGGCTTTCCATCTGTCACAGTATTACATAAAATATACAACACTCACTCCAGTTTAAATCTAAATCCACATGTGTGATAAAATCTTAGCAGAGTTTAGAAGTTGTGAGGGGTGAAATATAATTATTAAAAGTGTAAGGCCACCTGCTGTGGTATTGAAATATATTCCTAGTAATGGGGAAATATATATATGCAACAATAATAATTACAAGCATGGGCCATACATCTCTTTTCTTCTTCTCCGACAATGTGAATATTAAATTTAGCCCTCCTGTGTTATTCACTTTTCAAGCTCTCAAACCAGTCTCAGAATTATCTGGACTAAATCTAAATTAAAGCCGTACAGTGCTTTATCAAGCTAATATCACCATGAGGTAAAATCAACGTAGTATGGATTAGGTTTTATGAATATACACTTCATTCCTTTTTTAATTGTCTCACCATTCTGGAAACCGAAACTGGCCGAGATTTCACATGAGGACATACATTCTCACTTAATTAATATAATTATAATAATTAAAAATACCAATGCACGTTTCTAGTATTAAATAAACATTATTTCAATCATCAAATAGATCATATGTTTGCATACATGTACATACTAGATCATTAACATGGTTAGTAAGGATAAGGGAATTCACAAGGATTTCTCCCACCATGTGGGCATCAAATTTCAGAGTTCAGCAGATAACATTAATTCAGAGGAATAGTAGCAATAGATCAAATTAAACTAATTTTATTCACTCACCGCTGCTAGGGAATTCAAACACACAATGGTGACTGCAGGGGGTGATACTGCTGAGTCATAAGCAGACAGAGAACCGTCTAGCTTTCCAAGTGTTCTGGTTGAAAATGAACGTAGGAAGTCCTAAAATGGGGGAAGTAACTCTTGAGTTACTCCTTGCACTACTCTTCACCTTTTATACCTGTCAACTCTTAATTAATGAATTAATAATATTGCTATAATAAAGCAATCAGTAAAAGGTAAGAACATTTAATAATATTGCTAATGCAAAGCAATACTTAAAAGGACAGAAACAGTTGTCCAGACCAGCTCGTCACACCGACTGCAGAAACCCCAGAAGGCTAGACTAAAGAGAACCTGTTTTATTAAGAACACAAATGCCAAGCTCGCTTTCCTTAAACTCCCTCCCATAATACCAAATGTTCCACTTAAACCTTATAACGACTCCCCCCCCCCCCCCACCCACTTGGCTTAGGGATAGCGCCTACCAACAGTCAGAACCACTGTAACAGGGATCTCCTCCAAATCATCAATGAGCAGCACTGATATGAAATCAACTACAGAAGGAGAGATCAATAGACTTTATCCACACCAGAGTTGGATTCGAGTGTGTACAGATGGTTCAGCCAAGAGAGCAGTAAGAGACGGAGGAGGAGGAATATACATAGAATGCCCAAATGGTTTAAAAATCAACCAGGCTGTAGCAATCTTTTGTCTGTCCTGTCATGGTTGTGTGTGGGTGTCCATTACAGGGTGGAGGATGTGTCGGATAGAATCTGTTGTCTGTCCTGTCATGGGTGTGTGTGGGTGTCCATTACAGTGTGGAGGATGTGTCGGGTAGAATCTGTTGTCTGTCCTGTCATGGGTGTGGGTGGGTGGATGTATGTGTTCATTACAGGGTGGAGGATGTGTCATGTAGAATCTGTTGTTTGTTCTGTCATGGGTGTGTGTGGATGTATGTTTTCATTACAGGGTGGAGGATGTGTCAGGTAGAAATCTGTTGTCTGTTCTGTCATGAGTGTGTGTGGGTGCGTATATGTTTTCATTACAGGGTGGAGGATGTGTCAGATAGAAATCTGTTGTCTGTCCTATCATGGGTGTGTGTTGGTTCGTGAATGTGTTTCTTACAGGGTGGAGGATGTGTCAGGTAGAAATCTGTTGTCTGTCCTGTCATGGGTGTGTGTTGGTTGGTGTATGTGTTTCTTACAGGGTGGAGGATGTGTCAGGTATAAATCTGTTGTCTGTCCTGTCATGGGTGTGTGTTGGTTGGTGTATGTGTTTCTTACAGGGTGGAGGATGTGTCAGGTAGAAATCTGTTGTCTGTTCTGTCATGGGTGTGTGGGTGTATGTGTTCATCACAGGAGCCAGGTCTGTCATACACCAAAACCAACTGTTAGGGAATTACATGCAGTTTGATTTCGGCTCTTTTGATAGCACCATATATCTGATACTTCTGGTTGTGCCTAGCTCACTGGGGTCATATATCAGTACATTAGTAATGGGACTGGAGGCTGGTTGATTGGCACCTTTCCATCTGTCTAGATAGTGTTATACTGCACTATCAGAAGGCATGGGAGTCACAGCCTATGGCAATGGTGAGTGTGACTAGCAAAGCTCGCCTGTCTTAACAAAGGTCTTCACAATTATAACATGGGATTTTAGGACCGTTTTTATCAGCAATTATGTTTAGTCTGTTTCTGCTCCGCAGCTCAGCTTTGATCCTTTCTGCTCAGCAGCTCAGCTTTGATCCTTTCTGCTCAGCAGCTCAGCTTTGATCCTTTCTGCGGCCATTTCTTTCTTCATTCTTTTTCTCTGTCTCATGTGCCCCCTCCTGACCCCAATACCTGTATCATTCGTGTCTCGCTTACAAATATATTTGTATCGTAGCAGAGGTCAGGCTTGACCTCTTCTACCTGTCTTTAATTCACCATCAAAGTTGTCCTTAGGGACTGCGATTCTATTTTCTCCAGGTATGACTCAACCAACTGAGCCTGTATAGACTGAGCATTGAGAAGACTGTTGTAATACCTGCTGTTTCCAATACCTAAGTGTTTATGATCTTGTCTTACCACTTAATACCAAGTATTCTTCTTAGGCATATGAAAGCTGTTTAGCCTGTTTTCCTGGTGAGATATGTTGACCAGATTTCATAAAGCAGAGAGCTGAGAACACAAGCCTGATAGACAAAAGTTTTTGTTGTAATGGTGAGCCTCCCAAATATATCTCACACTTCTGGTTGTGCCTGGTTCACTGGGGTGATATGTCAGTATAGGGACTGAAGGTCAGCATGTTCGTATACCCCGTATTGTTGATTGTAAATTATGATTTTTGCTGCCAGGTCTGAGCGAGCAGCAGAAGGACCAACTCACAAGGGGACAGTAAAATTCTTCTGTCGACAGCGGGGCCATGGATTTATTCACCCTGATGATGGTCATGGAGAAGACATATTTGTTCACATTTCAGAGTAAGACTTCTGTTTGTGATTTTTGTTTACATTGTTAAACATTAACATAAAATCATTGACCTCAAGACCCACATGTAGACAAAAGGGGAGACAACAAGGTAGAAAATCATAGATTATACGTCTTTGCTAATTGTTAAAGATATCTAAATATGGTACGATCGTTATGAAATTGTGCATGGTCTTTCCTTATCTATCAATAAACAATAAATCACAAAGAAATTAACTTATATATCAACATTTCAAACTTATTTCCATTTGGTAAAGGTACATATTTTAGGGATGAGTAAATTAGTTGCAGTAGCGATATCAACCCAGCTAAAAAAAAGTATTTGATATATGCAACTAAAAGTTTGTGTAGATGCTCAGATATAGTTAAGCTATAATCTTAACCGTTGTCATCCTCTGTATAAGTGTCAGATTTTCTTTTATTGAGGTCCAAAATTTGTTGTAAATTTTTCCAAAATATTCATGAAATCATAAGTTACCTGTTGACTATATAAGTGTGGGGCCCATAAAAAAGCAGATTTCAAACAGAATCTACAGAAAAGCATGTCCTCTAAATTTGATTTGATTTGGCCCAATAGTTTTTAAATTATCCTGACAGTGGTAACACGCATGTACGAAAATGTTATCTTGAGAAAACGCTTTGAAAGTTTTGTATAAGATGAGTGCACTCATTGGCTGAATTAAGCATATCCTTAATAGTTAGACCAATAAAATTTGTTCCTTTATGCTGTGTCCCTTGAAACTGGTTGTATGGTCCTCATGAAACGGAACAATTTGCAACTTAAGTGAAGTCTCTAGGTCAACTACAAATAGAGATACAATATTTCGAAGTTTATGCATACATAATAAGCATGAAAATATAGATAAATAAGTTACACATACTTCAAAGTTTATGCATACATAATAAGCATGAAAATATAGATAAATAAGTTACACATACTTCAAAGTTTATGCATACATAATAAGCATGAAAATATAGATAAATAAGTTACACATACTTCAAAGTTTGTGCATACATAATAAGCATGAAAATATAGATAAATAAGTTACACATACTTTAAAGTTTATGCATACATAATAAGCATGAAAATATAGATAAATAAGTTACACATACTTCAAAGTTTATGCATACATAATAAGCATGAAAATATAGATAAATAAGTTACACATACTTCAAAGAATGCAAAAATAAAGCTTAAAATGCATTCCTTTTTAAAACCAGTGTGCACAGCTGTTTTCTACTAAGAATAATTGTGAATTATGTACGGAAACACAAAATGCTCAAAATTATGATTTTCATCTTAGTCCCTCCCCTTAAAATCAGTTACCTCAGCACTCAAAGGCAGACATTAAAATAAAATATTTGCCTCAGCATTCACAGGCAGACATTAAAATAAAATTTTTACCTCAGCATTCAAAGGCAGACATTAAAATAAAATATTTACCTCAGCATTCACAGGCAGACATTAAAATAAAATCATTTTCCTCAACACCCACAGACAGTCATTTAAATAATGGCATTTTCCTAAACACCCACAGACAGTCATTTAAATAATGGCATTTTCCTAAACACCCACAGACAGTCATTTAAATAATGGCATTTTCCTAAACACCCACAGATAGTCATTTAAATAATGGCATTTTTCTCAACACCCACAGACAGTCATTTAAATAATGGCATTTTTCTCAACACCCACAGTCAGTTAAATAATGGCATTGTTCTCAACACCCACAGGCAGACATTTAAATAATGGCATTTTCCTCAACACCCACAGGCAGACATTTAAATAATGGCATTTTCCTCAACACCCACAGGCAGACATTTAAATAATGGCATTTTCCTCAACACCCACAGGCAGACATTTAAATAATGGCATTTTCCTCAACACCCACAGGCAGACATTTAAATAATGGCATTTTTCTCAACACCCACAGGCAGACATTTAAATAATGGCATTTTCCTCAACACCCACAGGCAGACATTTAAATAATGGCATTTTTCTCAACACCCACAGACAGTCATTTAAATAATGACATTTTTCTCAACACCCACAGGCAGACATTAAAATAATCACATTTACCTCAACACCCACAGGCAGACGTTAAAATCAAAAACCTCAGCACTCAAAGATAGACATTCAAATAAAATCATTTTCCTCAACACCCACAGGTAGACATTAAAATAATGGCATTTACCTCAACACCTGCGTGTAGACACTAGAATAGTGTATGCCCCCACAGGTAGACAATATAATCTTCAAAACCCACATGTAGATGCTATAATCCTCAAAACCCAGAGGCAGATACAGTGGTACCAGTAATGTTTTGGTCAGCAAAAAAGAGAGGGACCTCCCGTCCACTTATGCCTTATTGAGTTGTACGGCCTGTCCTATGTTGTGGGGGTAATCTGGTAATTTGTTAATTTCAGCTTCATAGCAAACGGGTCACCCCATCTTTGCTCCGCTCCTGTGCCAACGAAAAACACACAGAATGTTTATCACAGTCCCTTGTGGAAAGACTGACAAACTGCTCTCTCAGCAAATCTAGCATAAACTCGCATTAAAAGCATATGTTAGCCATCTGAAGTGCTAACAAAAACAGTTCGACATTAGAAATGCAGTTCATCATTGATGGTAGCAGAAGTTGCACACGCGATCAATTTTAATTAAATAATGGCCCCACCAATATTGCGACAACCGGCATTACGCCATTTTCTGAATCTACAAATCACACCACCACGTTGGTCAGTTGAAAAACATTCCAAATGAAATCCGCAGCTCACAGTGTCACGCCATGCACTCAACTCAGAGGCTGGGCAACGAAACTATATACTTCCAGTCTACAAATGGAGCAAAAAAGCAACGGCCACAGTCTGGCAGAAGCAGAAATGTTTGCCTCGGCTCAAAACAGTGGCGGTGCCTAGTGTCCATTTGGGCCTGAAGCATTATGTGAGGGTTAATAAATGGTCACCCCAGCAGTACCCTCACTATTAGCTGGGGAAGGGATTTAGGACATTACATCCACCAGCAAGCCTCGCCCTAACAACGACCTGAATGCCTTCGTTAACGACTGTTCACCCAACAGCCTTGCAGTTCTTTGGCACGAAAGATACACCTTGAACTTGGGTTTCGGACTGCCGACTCCCTACACGAAGATATATGTGTGCTACTGGTGTCCCGTAGCCAAAATACTATCTCACTGTATTACTAAAATTCAGGACTGCCGTAGAAAGGTGCACCCAAGGGACGGTTTCAGAAAGAGATGCATACTTGTGGTATGGTAACATTGCTTGAAAAATGTATTCTGCAAGCCATCAGGGGTTGCATTCACATTTTCTAGGTTCTAACAATAGTAATACACTAGCGATGACTAATAATAATCATTAACCGCTCAGCCAATACCTACATAAATCGGCCTAGACAGAAAGAGAGAGATGGAGAGAGAGAGAGAGAGAGGGGGGGGGGGGGGGATCACCGCATAGCTAATTACAGCAAATGTATAGCGTTCATTGAGTCTTCTGTTTCGATATCCAAACGTGCTTGTTGTCAACCATACATTTTTTGCGTGCATCGATCAAGGCCTGAGAACAGAAAATCAAGTGCTGTCACTCTACATTCATTTCTAGGTGGCCACGGGGTCACAGATGGAACTGTTGTAGGTAAATTGGGTGCTTAGAGAATGTCGTGTTCTCATGTGTATCTGGTGTTGCCTGATGAGATGTCATCGCGAAGAAAGGTGAAATATTCAAAAGAAGAGAATTCCTAGTGTCTGTAATTATTTCTTCTTCCATTCGTGAACCCGCCTGCGTCAGAACAAATGTTGCTCCATTAAACGGCGTCTTGGTGTCCGAAGGAACGGTTGATGGCCTGGTGTTCAAACACTGGTGTAAGATTTATTGTCCTCTTTGTGTCTCACACAGATAGTAGCGGGCAAGTCGCCTTGAATCACCATTGGAAATACCGCACGTATTATGTTCTACGTAGTTTCATTAGAGAATGGGATGGTCCGGATGCCTATAGTTCGGTGAGTGAGTCCAGCAGTTAGCATTTCCCTTTCTCTTCTTTTCGCTAGCATTACTATCTTTTGAAAAAGCTCAGTCCTATTGTAGTCACACATGTTTCATTTGTATAGTGTGACACTTGCGGGACGTCACTCGGTTAGCCAGTGTTCTGGGTGGTGATAAATCTCAGTGACGCGGACAAAAACGCCCACTGACCTTCGCATCCGTGGTTCATGTGTCTGTATCATCGGCACATTTCCGCTCAAAATATGTTTGAGAATGCTACAAAAATCACATTTGCATGCAATCATGACATCTAATTGCGTGAAACAATATTTTCACGTCTAAAGGAATAACGATTAAAACATTAGTAAAAACGTCTCTAGTTAACAGGCACAATTAGAATAAAAAATCCAAATAGGCTTCATTGGGCTTTTGCTCGCCGTGTATAATGTTTGTGGGAGGTTGTGTTGCCATGAGTCTCTCTGAAGCACCGCAGGCGCCTGTAAACAAGTAAGAAGTACTGCAGGCGGATGCGCCGCAGACACGATAGTTCGTGAGTATCCAAACTGGGATGTTTTTATGTTTCCTTGTTCGTTGGCGGTGGCTTCCCCACAGAAAAAGAAGCCACTGATAAGAAAACAGTCACACATGTGAGCCATGGAAACACGAGGTAACGGTTAAACCATTGATAATTAGGAATACATGATACCCCTGCAACAAAGAAGAGGCCGTGCAACCCTACAAGGCATTAATAGAAAGGGAAGTCACTCTTTGTGTGTGAACTAAAATGTTACTTGTACCAACACTATTATCCTCAACACCCACAGGTAGACACTATAATCCTCAAAACCCACAGGTAGACACTGATAATATACCTCAATAGCCACAGGTATGACATGCATAACTTGTGTTGCAATCTTCTCTGACAGTGTTGAAGGAGAGTGGGTACCAAAAGAGGGTGACCAGGTGACCTACAAGACAGTGCTCATTCCACCCAAGAATGAGAAGCTGCAGGCAGTTCATGTTGTGATCACCCACCTGAAGCCAGGTGTTCTCCATGAACGGTGGGACTCACCTGTTCCCACCAGTCCCGAGAAATTCTCCCCTCAGTGACACATCTTTCTGCCAGAATTGTGTCTCAGTCTGCACAAAGCACAGACTTAGTCTGCACAAAACACAGACTTTATGATAGGATCTTCAATTGATGTCTAATACTTCACAAATTGCTTCTCCAGAATTTGATACAGTTCATGTATATGATCATATTCCCATCGTACATGTGTGTTTCAGCTAATGTTTTTGATGAGATGTTTGCTGCATGACAGTTTAGACTGAGTGTTCTTGTCTGAATGAATGTTTGGGGTGTTGGGTGAGATTTCTGATGCAGGACAGTTTAGACTGCTTGTTTTTATATCCATAGATGCTGGAACCTGGAGCTTCAGGTCCCTTAAGGCCTCCCCCCCCAACCCCTGCCCCATTTGAGGGAGGGGAGTGGGCCAGTAATGAATGTAAGCTCTTTGTTGAAGCTGGGGGTACACTGTTATCTACTCTGTTACAGATTAGGCTTTTGTTTATTTTAAACTTCAATCCAGTGACTTCAGATCAAATAAGCAGACTGTGAACCAGCTTATCTTAATAATGCAGTCATGTCTGTGCCTCTCCTAACTGAGAATAACAGTAAGCCCCTGCTTCATGCATATATTATCTTTGTTTCCTGGTTAGAGAAAAACAACACCGAGTTGTTGTGGGAGGGGGGAGTCAAAAAGTTGTTTACATGCACACTACAACCTGGAAGCTCAGGTCTCTTTAAGACCACCCCCCCCCCCCCTCCCCCAACTCTGGACAATAATTGTCTAACAACTAAGAGACTCCCTTTAACCATCTGTAGAAATTTTCATTCAAAGTAATTGCCTATAGACTTGATATTAATTTACAAACTATTATATTTACTAACTTCTACGCAATAATTTAAAAAAATTGGTGTGCTGAGTGGCAAACAAATGTATATGTATACTTGAAATAATATGAAATGGATGAACAAATAAGGGACCATCCAGGCCCGCACCTTATAAAGTCAATTATTGATGGGGGAGGGGGATTGACTTGAGCCCACTGGGAGGGGGGGGGGGGGTTTGACTTGAGCCCACAGCCAATTATTTGCCTAGAATATTTCTGAAGTGGTGAAGTGAGCATGGTTTGGGGGTCCCCGGTGTTCTGTACCTAGTTTTTGTGGGGACTGAGTCCCTCCATTGTTTTCTGTAGCCTCCTCCTCCTCTCACCCCCCACATGTGCTCACAGTTTTTAACTAGACATGTTTGTGGCGGTGCAGCTGCTTGCATGAGTGAATGAGCAAAGTCTGTTTAAAAAGATTTAGGATAGTGGTGTGAGTATGGAAGATCTGTGATGTTGAGAATAGAATATATGTGATTTTAATGTTGATTATATATTTGTGAAGGTAATGTTCAAAATAGACTATTTTTTTAATTGTAATGTTGACTATAGATATGTGATGGTAATATTGTACAGAGAAAATCTGTGAGAATGATGAGAGATGAGAGAAATAGACAGAAAATATAACATCCACAGCTGTCATATCTTAAAACCTTTGACTGTGTCAGACATTACATCATCTATATGTCAGACTGTAAAACATCTGCATATGTCGCACGTAGAACATCTACATATGTCAGACAGTGGAACATCTTAGACATCTACATGTGTCAGACAGTAGAATATCCTTACATGTCAAACAGAACATCCACTTGTGTCTGACACAGAACATTCACTTGTGTCAGACAGTAGAACATCCACATGTGTCAGACAGTAGAACATCCACATATGTCACACAGTAGACATCCACATGTGTCAGACAGTAGAACCTCCACATGTGTCAGACAGTAGAACATCCACACATGTCAGACAGCAGAACATCCACATGTCTGACAGTAGAACATCCACATGTCTGACAGTAGAATATCCACATGTCAGACAGTAGAACTTTCCACATGTCAGACAGTAGAACTTCCACATGTCAGAAAGTAGAACCTCCACATGTCAGAAAGTAGAACCTCCACATGTCAGAAAGTAGAACATCAACATGTCAGAAAGTATAACATCCACATGTCAGAAAGTAGAACATCCACATATGTCAGACAGTAGAACATCCACATATGTCAGACAGTAGAACATCCACATGTGTCAGACAGTAGAACATCCACATGTCAGAAAGTAGAACATCCACATGTCAGAAAGTAGAACATCCACACATGTCAGAAAGTAGAACATCCACATGTAGGACAGTAGAACATCCACATGTCAGACAGTAGAACATCCACATGTCAGACAGTAGAACATCCACATGTCAGACAGTAGAACATCCACATGTGTCAGACAGTAGAACATCCACATGTGTCAGACAGTAGAACATCCACATGTGTCAGACAGTAGAACATCCACATGTGTCAGACAGTAGAACATCCACATGTGTCAGACAGTGGAACATCCACATGTGTCAGACAGTAGAACATCCACATGTGTCAGACAGTAGAACATTCACATGTGTCAGACAGTAGAAGATCTAAACATGCAAAACCATAGATAGAATGTTTACAGGTGAGAGAAAGATCAGAGAGAGAGAGAGAGGACACAAGACTAAACTGACACAAGGGATCTCCAGTGCAGAACCTTACATGTGCCATGTTTCTCTGTGATCTCCAGTGCAGAACTTTACATGTGCCATGTTTCTCTGTGATCACCAGTGCAGAACCTTACATGTGCCATGTTTCTCTGTGATCTCCAGTGCAGAACCTTACATGTGCCATGTTTCTCTGTGATCACCAGTGCAGAACTTTACATGTGCCATGTTTCTCTGTGATCACCAGTGCAGAACCTTACATGTGCCATGTTTCTCTGTGATCTCCAGTGCAGAACTTTACATGTGCCATGTTTCTCTGTGATCTCCAGTGCAGAACCTTACATGTGCCATGTTTCTCTGTGATCTCCAGTGCAGAACTTTACATGTGCCATGTTTCTCTGTGATCTCCAGAGCAGAACCTTACATGTGCCATGTTTCTCTGTGATCTCCAGTGCAGAACTTTACATGTGCCATGTTTCTCTGTGATCTCCAGTGCAGAACTTTACATGTGCCATGTTTCTCTGTGATCACCAGTGCAGAACCTTACATGTGCCATGTTTCTCTGTGATCTCCAGTGCAGAACTTTACATGTGCCATGTTTCTCTGTGATCTCCAGAGCAGAACCTTACATATGCCATGTTTCTCTGTGATCTCCAGTGCAGAACCTACATGTGCCATGTTTCTCTTTGTTTTCCCGCTTGGATACATGTTACTATGTGCCTACCTACTATGTACTATGTATCATCAGTCATTCAAAGTAATAAACATTGTTTCCAAGTATTTGTTTTATTTTTCTTGTTTCCAAATTTTTGTTGTCTTACCTTTCTGTATGTGTGTTTACAAATATATATATGGGGGAGGGGGGCAGTTTAATTTCATAGAGGGTACTTGTGTTTGATTCTGTGAAATTCTTATTTCATATTTTATAGAATGTTATGATGAAATATCAGTGTGCAGCTTATGTTTATGGAGTCAGACCAACAAATTCCAGTTATCACAAACTCTGTCTTTGCACATTGGGCAGTCCCATGCATGCTCAGTCCTCCATTGCAGCAGCCACTCTAAGGTACTTTTACCGATTGCTCCCAGAAGTTGGTTATAGTGTCTCCTGTCTTTACCTCGAAGATGGCATAGACAAGCTTCAGCAGGCCTCACTGCTGTCATGCAGCCTAGTCTGAGCAGTGTTGATGGTTTTAGCTTTCTCCATGCTTCTTGTCTTTTGTGTGTGTCTGTGTGATTTCCTGTGTATATGCGTGTCTGTGTGTATATATATGTCTGTGTGTGTTTGTCTGTGTGTATCTCTGTGTGTAGTGTCTCTGGATGTGTCTACATGTGTGTCTGCGTGTGTGTCTGTGTGCCTGTGTATATGCATATCTGCGAATGTGTTTGTGTGTCTGTGGGTGTGTATCTGTGTGTGTGCCTGTGTGTATAAAGGCCTGCGTATGCTTCTGCGTGTGTGTGTCTGTGTCTGCATGAGCATCAGCACGCGCGTGTGTGTGTGTCTGCACTTGTGTGTGTGTTTGTGTCTCCGAGTGTACCTGTGTGTTTGTGTGTCTCCGAGTGTATCTGTGTGTTTTTGTGTCTGCATGTGTTTGTGCATATGTGTCTGTGTTTGTCTGCGTGTGTGTGTATTTGTCTGCGTGTGTGTGTATGCTGGTTCGTGTGTGTATATCGCATGTGTGTATCTGCGTGTGTGATTGGGTATGTGCGCGTATGTCTGTTTGTGTGTATGTGTGTGTGTGTCTGCATTTGTTTCTATGGGTGTGTCTGTGTGTGTATATCTGTATGTTTGTATGTGTGTGGAATGTGCGTGTCGATGTGGGTATCTAGGTATGTATGTGGGTGAATGGGGTGTGTTTATGTGTGTTTGTGAAGGTATGTGAGTGTGTTTGAGTGAGTGGGTGGGTGTATGTGTGCATGCATTTTACCATCCATGCTTTTGTGCTTTTTTTCTTTCTCTTTTTTGATATTTATAATATGCATATTATCATATGAATATAGAATACTTATTGATAAAATACATGTAAGACAGGCTTGCGTGCCCAATTTGTGACCCTTTGAAAATAAAGTTTGTTCGTTCCCGTTTGCATTGTGAATTCCTTACCAGTTGGTGAGCTCTTTCATTGCCATTTACTCCTGCGTAACCATGTATGTACATACAGACAATGGAGGTTAACTGCGACTTTCAAATGATTTCTACCTGTTGAAAGCGTGACTACCTGTTGAAAGCGTGACTACCTGTTGAAAGCGTGACTACCTGTTGAAAGCGTGACTACCTGTTGAAAGCGTGACTACCTGTTGAAAGCGTGACTATCTGTAGCCATTTTCTGAATGAACATGTGGCCAATAGATGTTACCACTAGAAGAAGACACCCTGATACCCCGGTACTGTGACTCATTGAGTGTTCAGGAAGATAGAGAAGGGCTGGGTCCGAAGACAGTGGTAAGAGTCTCTAAAGTGGTTGGTGCTGAAACATAT